ACCACTTACCGGTCAGTCTACCCGCGAGAAGACAAGAACCTCTATGCGAGAGAAAACAAGCCATTCACCACAAAACCTGAAGCTACACCTTTACATGACCTCAAAGGAAAATCTAAGGAGATTACTACAAAGACCACAGACGTTAAGTGCTTTAAGTGTCAAGGCTGGTGCCATTATGCCAACGAATGCATTAACAAAAGGACGATGATCTTGTTAGAAAGTGGCGAGATAGCATCAGGAGAAGAAACTCAAGAGGAGTCTAGTGAAGAAAACAAACTCTTACCAGTTCAGGGAGAGTTGCTTGTAGCCAGAAGAACTTTGACAATGCAAAGCAAGCCAAAAGAGCAAGATCAGAGGGAAAATCTATTCCATACCCGCTGCTTAGTTCAAGAGAAAGTTTGCAGCCTGATTATAGATGGTGGTAGTTGTGCAAACGTAGCTAGCAGTACAATGGTTAAGAAGCTCGGATTACAAGTTAAACCTCACCTCGAGTCCTTACAAGCTACATTGACTAAGTGATAAAGGAGAAATGCAGGTTTCGGATCAAGTTTTGGTTCCATTGGCGATTGGAGATTACAAAGATGAGATTCTCTGTGATGTGCTACATATGGAAGCAAGCCACATTCTGTTAGGTAGACCTTGGCAATCAGACCGAAGAGTAACGCATGATGGTTTCTCTAACTGTCACTCTTTTGAGTTCAAAGGCAAGAAGAATGTTTTAGTTCCAATGACCCCGCAAGAGGTTTACAATGATAAGAATCAATCTCTAAGGTCAGCTAAACATTTGAATTTCTTTGCTAAAGCCGGAGAGGTAAAGAAAGCTTTACATACTAAAACTTCAATGCTTTTATTTGTTTTAAAGAAACACCAACGGCTATGACTGAACTTACATCGGTGTACCCGAGTGAAATGCAAGCTCTTTTACAGGACTATAGAGACGTCTTCCCAGAGGAAACTCCGGTTAGTTTACCTCCCATCAGAGGTATAGAACATCAGATAGACTTCACCCCCGGAGCTTCTCTACCAAACCGTCCTGCTTACCGTACCAATCCCATAGAAACTAAAGAGCTACAAAAACAAGTGGATGAGCAGATGGCTAAGGGTCACATCCGTGAAAGCATGAGCCCTTGTGCTATTCCAGTGCTTTTAGTTCCCATGAAAGATGGTAGCTGGAGGATGTGCGTTGACTGTCGTGCAATCAACATCCCATTCCTAGATAGATGACATGTTAGATAAATTGCATGGCCCTAACATCTTTCGTAAGATAGATTTAAAAAGTGGTTATCATCATATTAGAATGAAGGAAAGGGATGAATGAAAAACCGCATTCAAAACCAAGCATGATTATATGAATGGCTGGTTATACCATGCGGCTTGTCTTATGCCCTTAGCACTTTTGTGCGATTGATGAACTATGTTCTTAGGGCATATATATGCATCTTTGTTGTTGTTTATTTCGATGACATTCTTGTTTACAGCAAAGGCTTAGAGGAGCATATATAGCATATTAGTTTAGTTCTTGATTTACTTAGAAAAGAGAAGTTGTGTGCTAACCTCAAAAAGTGCACTTTCTTTACTTTCAGTCTTGTGTTTCTTGGTTTTGTAGTAAGCTCAGAAGGAGTCAAAGTGGAGGAGGAGAAAGTAAAGGCCATCCGAGACTGGCCAAGTCCCAAGACTGTGGGAAGAAGTTAGAAGTTTTCACAGCTTAGCCGGTTTTTATAGGAGATTTGTGAGGGACTTCAGTACTATAGCAGCTCCACTTACTGAGATCATCAAGAAGGACATAGGTTTTAAGTGGGAAACAGCTCAAGAGGAGGCTTTCCAAAGCCTAAAGGAGAAGCTTACTAATGCCCATGTTCTTATTTTACCTAACTTCTTGAAAACATTTGAAATAGAGTGTGATGCATCAGGAATAGGTATTTGAGCAGTCCTTATGCAGGAGAAGCAGCTGATTGCCTATTTTAGTGAAAAGCTTGGTGGTGCTATGCTTAACTATCCAACATACGACAAAGAGATGTATGCTTTGGTCAGGGCTTTACAAACATGGCAACACTATCTATGGCCTAAGGAGTTTGTCATTCACACGGATCATGAGTCCTTATAACATCTCAAAGGACATCATAAGCTAAGCAAAAGACACGCAAGGTGGGTTCAGTTTATAGAGACCTTTCCTTATGTCATAAATTATAAGCAAGGTAAAGAAAATATGGTCGCATATGCATTATCAAGAAGAGAAGCACACGGTGGAGGCTTAATGGGACATTTTGGCATCGCCAAAACCTTAGAAGTGATGAAAGACCATTTCTACTGGCCACATATGAAACGTGATGTTGAAAGAATATGTGGGAGGTGCAACACTTGTAAACAAGCCAAATCCAAAGTACAAAATAATGGTTTGTATTCTCCTTTACCCATCCCATCTCATATGTGGCATGATATATCAATGGACTTCGTTTTAGGATTGCCTAGAACTAAAACAGGTAAGGATTCTATCTTTGTAGTTGTAGATACATTTGAGTGAAAAGGGTTAGTATGAATGGAAAGAATAAGGCCGAGGTGATACAGCTTATACATTCGGATGCTAAAAAGAACTAAGAAGAGAAGACAAAGCTTTATGCTAAGCATGCGAATAAAGGAAGAAACAAAATGGTTTTTGAGGCTAGTGATCAAGTATGGGTTCATTTGAGAAAGGAACGCTTCCCAGCAGAAAGAAAATCCAAACATATGCTGAGGATTAATGGCCCTTTCACAATCACAAAACTGATCAATGACAATGCATATCAACTTGATCTTCAAGGTAAGTATTCTATAAGCTCAAGCTTTAATGTTACTGATTTAATTATTTATTTTGCAGATGAGTCGGATTTGAGGTCAAATCCTTTTCAAGAAAGAGGGGATGATATGATCATGGAAGACTCTAACTTAGAATATAAGCTTGTACCCGAGGAGGAACAAGAGCGGATTAAGCTTGAAGAAAAAGAGGATCTAGAAGTTCAAAAAGGTCCCATGACCCGGTCTAAGACTAAAGCATTTCAAAACGCCTTAGAGGTTCTACTTAATCAATTTAAGTAAGAATCAACAAATGAGAAGGCTAAACTAACCGTGTTGGTTTGTATAAAAGCCAATGACTAAGTTAATGGATTTGTGGGGCATTTTATGCTCTTTTTCCCTAAGTGAGTTTTGTCCCATTGAGTTTTCTCATTAAGGTTTTTAACGAGGCAAGTGTTCCCTTATAGTTAGTGCCCATTAGCTTAGCATTTGTCCAGGCCCACTTCTTTCTACCATATGTGGCTTGGAAGGTCTAGAGTCAGTTTGTACTTAGTCGTTTTTATGTCTTTGTGTGCTTTTCTTTTGATTTTTGAACTAAATCTTTGCATGGTTAGTTAAGGGGGTTTGTCCCGAGACTAACTTAATGCTTGCCTTTATTTCGTGTCTCTTCTTCTCTCCTTAAAACAGTGTTTGAGAGAAGAGTTCAGTCATCTATCTTTTGAATAAAATCTCTTACAAAATAGATCATCTCTCACGGTGTGTAATATCCTTTAGAAAAGTTGGTTGAACCATTGGTGTGTCATATCCTTCACTTCTATCAGTCGTATACAAGAGCCATCTGCATCTCTTGTCTACTTCCATCATTCACTTTTTCCCCCTTTTCCTCCAAACTGAATTAAATTCCAACAAATCAATCATATCTTTTCATTACCATCGGATCCAGTTCATTTGTGTGATAGCTTGCAAGGTTAAAGATCATAGAGGGATCATACTAGTTAAGCTTTTTGTATTGATTTTCTAAACAATTAAATATCAAATTTTAAATGGCTTTTTCTTTTGTTAATTTCACACAAATGTTTTTTTGGTAGTATTGATAGTTTTAAATAGCAATTTTCTATGTTTATATAATAATTTAATTTTAATATTTTTTAAAAATATATAACTCATTTAAAATATATATGTTAGATTTTTTATTTTTTTAGTTTAACTTTTTCGTTACTGATTTACATATTTTTTTTGTTAGTTTAGCTTTTGTGACAATGAGTTTCCATTTTATTTTGACAAACGTTATAAATTTGGATTTTTGACATCATTTTATTTTATCTATTTTGTTAGTTAAACTTTTTTATCTTAATTTTTCATTCTACTATAATAATTTTATATTTTTACATGTTATAATTGATTTAAGTTATTAATCATATTTGACATTTTATGTTTAATAAAAAACACTGATGTTAACCAATCAGATTAAGTTTTTACATCATGTATAGACGCTCACATTTGCTTAAAACATCAACACGGATTACAACTAATATATTTTAAGTTAGCAGTTCAAATTTTAATTGTTTGTCATGATTAAATTTTGAAATACTTTAATTATAGTCTTAAATATATTTTTTAATTATTTTGTTCAATATATATAATTTTTTTTAATAATTTATTTATATGTTATTTTACTTTTTATTGTTTAGAAATTTGATCTTATTTACTAACTTAAAAATTAAAAATTTTCCTAATAACGATAAAAAAAATTAATTAAAATTTAAAATTTTCCTTATAACAATAATAACGAATTAATTAATTTTAATAAATAGTATATAATTAGCTATAGAGGATAATAATGTGTACCAATAGAATTGAGTCTTTTAAATCATATGTAGTTAGAGGTCTATAGCATCAATTTTTATTAGTAATAAATAGATTACTTTGTTTAAAAATAAAAAATTTTGGATTTAGTTTTTAAATTAGAACTATATTTTTTTAGTTTTATGCCTCTTTATAGTTAAACTGGATTTACATCTTGAATCCACAGTCTTTACCAATAAACTGAATTTGATAAAATCATTTGAATAATTATTTAATTTAAATTTATTATAATATTTTATTTTTTCACTTTTACGTCTTTTTTTTAAACCCAAAATAGCTGGTTAAAACCCTATAATCCAGTTAGAGCCGAACTTCAGAATATAGGTCCGATAATTTTTCGGGCCAAACCAAGCTAGGCGTGGATATATATGGACTTTATGGAATTTGGAACGGGCCAGACCCGACATGCCTACGGCGAAAAACAAAATTTGGATACTTTTTTCTAGAGAAAGATGCAATTAAGAAGTGTCTTTTGACAAAAGTCGTAAATGTAAAATAACCGCAGTGAAGCTCTCATAAAAGACCCAAAATCGAGTCGTAAAAAATTGTACGACATAACTAAACTTAAATTGGTCGTTACCAAAGATCCAATCAAGCCGCAACATTGACTTAACGCTTCTTAGACACACCAACAGTCTTTCCTCTGCGACCAGTTGTCTTAGTGTGTTGTCCACGGACTCGGAGACCCCAGTAGTGTCTCAGACCACGGTGGTTCCTGATCGTTGTAAGAATATGCAAAACCACAGTTACATCAAAATCAATTAATTCAAACCCCAAGAGAACACACTGTGGTAACGAGTTATATTGATTGGGATCAGTATGATGAGTTTACCTGATTTTCTTGAGACGTTCAAGATCATCTCTGAGCTTCATGTCAAGGGCATTGGAGACAACTTGAGAATACTTTCCATCTTTGTAGTCTTTTTGTCTGTTCAAGAACCAGTCTGGAATCTTATACTGTTTTGGGTTTGCAACAATTGTCATGAGGTTGTCGATCTCAGCTGCGGATAACTCACCAGCCCTGGACAAGAGTGGAAATCAAAAATTAGTATACACAAGAATGTGAAACTTACACTAAAACAACTTTTGGCTGAACATACAACACAATGGATATTCTACACTGAAAAAAAAAGATCCATAAGGAGATCAAAAGTTTTGGCTAGCATTGTCATTTAAAAGCCCATTTAAGATAACAAAGTGGAAACATAATCCATATCATTGATAAGTCAAAGCAGGCATAAGAACATGCCAAAAAAAAAAAAAAAAAAATCAAAGCATACTAATCTGTTCGACACAAAAGAAAAAGTAATTATAAGTTTGGATTATCAACAACACGATAGTTGTTGAAAGACTAAACAAAACACAAGAGAGACAAAGAATACCTCTTGTTCATGTCGACATCGGCTTTCTTGCAGACAATGTTGGCCAACCGCCTCCCAATACCCTTGATAGAGGTAAGGGCAAACATAATCTTTTGCTTTCCATCAACGTTAGTGTTGAGCACACGCAGAATGTGCTGGAACTCCTCGTTCGCAACCAGAGACTACACAGTAACAATTAGAAAAACAAGAAACAAAAATTAAAAGACCGAGAGATACTTTAGTTTTATCTCGATGGAGGGAAATCAACACAAAATCCTAATCTTAATCTTAACCAGCCGTTTCAAACTTCTCAAGTCGTGGAATTAACAAAATAACATTAGATTCAAAAAGAAAAGATTCATTTAACGGCATTTAAGTAAGAGATCTAAGAGATGATAGGCATTTTCTGAGAAAAGGGATAAGAAATCGTAAAACCTAATTACCATTGTTCGATCTGAAGAGAAAAGCTGTCTGAGAGAAAAGATTGAGAAACTCCCGCCGTCTGACACTATCGCTCGACCAACTAGTTTGATAACTAGGGTTTCTTTCGTGGTCTATATACCTCTTTAGATAAACTGGACGCTCTTTTCTATGTACCTACCCATGACACTTGGGCCCAAACTATTTCTTTTTTAAATAGGCCTAACTCTATGTACATAGAAACTACAAAAATTAATAATATTAGATTTTTGATATTTTATTAACTTATAGAATTATTAATTTATCGATTTTAAATAAAATAAATTGTATATTAATAATTAAATAAAAATAATAGTTTTTGAAAATTTTATAATATTTTCCAAAATTTTCATTATAAAATTAGAGATAAATAATAAAAATGTTTCAATTTTAATATAAAAACAACAATATATTCATATTTAATAGATTATTATATTTATATAAAATTATTTTATATAATATTTATTAATTTCTGATATTAATGAGACTATATTTTACATAAGTTTTCACAGAAATTATTATTTTATTAATTTATCGACTTGTATTAAATTTTGAACCGGCCCAACTGGGGATCCAGTAAAATTATTCATTTACCAAATTTATTAATTTATTGAACATTAATTTATAGAGCTTCTACTGTATACTCTTATAGATTTATTTATTTTTTGCGGTTCGGTTATAAATTTTTATTAGTATTTAACTCGCGATTTTTATTAATAGTTTGATTTAATTCTTTTTGAACTAATACTTTTAATTTATCAAAAAATTATAAAAATAAATTATATAAAAGAATTCAAAATATAATTTGTAATTTTCTTCTATTTTTTATTTATAAAATTTTAAATTTTATTAAGCAAAATAATAACAGCAATACATATCGAATTATTCAACATTGATGTGTACACACGCTTGATTTAGATAAGGATTTCTTTGCTAAGAGTTTTGTATTTTGTTTTGTTTTACATGAGATTTTTAAAGTTCTGTTTTCTTTAAAGTATGTATTCATATATTTAGTTTTTTGTTGAATGTCTCATTGATGTTGTGTAACTATTCATATATATATATATATATATATATATATACATATATATATCTATGATTCATGTTAATTCTTATTTAGGTTTTTTTTGGAAGCTGCAGTCTAATATTTTATAATTTTAATTTTTAAATATATAGTGAAGTCTTTGCATTATTTTCTACTATTTTTTTATCTTTTATATGCTTTTACATGTTTCAATTTGAATATTTTATTGAGATATACCAATTTGAATGTGATTCATAGCTCTGCCGTATTTTATTATTTAAATAGAAATTTAGAATGTGTTACTCATATATTATTAATGTTGGTTTAGATATAAATAGTAGCTATGTATAAAATTTATACTATTTTAAATATTTCTAGTTTAAAGTTAATTATTTAGTATTTATATGTTTTATATATTTAGGTGTTCCCAAAAAAATTATTATCTTATTATTTTGTCAAAATTTGTTAATTTTTATACTGGCATGACTCAAGATCAGAAAATTTATTAATTTATAGTAATTATTACTTTATCGAAGTTCTATTATATATTGTTTTTATTAATAAATTTTATTGAAAAAAAAATACCTTTATTAGTTCTTTTGGTCGAATGAGTTTGCTAAATTGGCAAAATCGTGGTTTATATGATAACATTTAAAATTCTGCAGAAAATTTTAAAAACGGACGGTCTTCTCTCAACCAAAACCAAAAGACGATGGTGACGGTGATTTAGGGTCCAGATGAGAGGCAATCAGCTGGATATTGATGGATCAAACAGAAATAGGGATCAAATTCCACTATATTTTGGATGGAAGGGTCATCTTAGGGTCATATTCGAGTGGTGTGGAGATCGATTAGACTCCAATAAAGTACATGATGAGGCAATTAGGAATTTCAAGAGGTTCGATGGGGTTTTCATTTGGGGCCCTGCCAGGAGGCAATTATTTGTGATTAGATCTACACGGTGTAGGATCCGGTTCATATTATTGTGGTGCTGTGATGCCTCTTTCGAGGGAGATATATTCCGACGATTGAGGCGGAATCAAGGTTTCACTGGAGGTGGTGGCTCATGTGATCGCGAGCGTAATAACAAGAATGGATGGGTCAGTTATATCTTCCTCCTTCAGGATCTCCAAAAGAGAAACAACGCTCCCGGTGATGGTAACGGAGAATGGATGAGGGCAACGGCGAGGACTCCACAGATAGGTCGGAGGATCGGACTGGAGACATATCTATAGTCTCTCGATCAACAATTAATTATGATTGAAGGTGGTTGGTTTAAAGGAAGAATATTACTTTCGGCGGAAGATGAGCTCGAGCCACTTTTTACAAATTCTTAGGATTTCCAGGGTGATTCGTCAATAGCAACTTCAATTTGGAGATTTCGGCATCAGATGTGCAGCATGAGTTTCTATGGGAATTTGGTGGGATCGATTGGGCAACCTCGGTAAGTCTCTCGGGTATGAGTAGAATTGATGAATCTATTTTCTTACTCATAGAGAAGCAACAACAAATTAACGATACAATATTCTCCATGTTTGCCTGTATCTGGAGAGTTTATCAATCTGGTCATCAAATGATAAATGATAATTCATGGCTTCTCAGGGTTTCTGGGATTTGCTTACGGAGTACAACACATTTGGGAATAAAAAGTTGTTTGGCATCTATATAGCCGTTGACAAGACAACAATATATACTCGCAGGTACTAATGGGTAGCAAGTTACATAATTGGTGTTCTGGAATTTCGGTTTTGGATGGTTTGTATGATATGTATCTAGTTAAATTACAAAACCTTATCGGGTATGATCAATCTCAAGATATTTATGTGATTGGGTCTAGCGTAATGAATAGATATCTCTGGTTTTGCAGGATATTCTGGTCTTGTTAAGGAAAGCAGCAGATTCTGGTTTCACAAATCAGGAGATGGAGAGATCACCAAAAACTGACTGTCTGTTCAGGACATTACAGATTCAAGGGCGGAAATTATGGAGTTTTACGGGGAATATGGTTCAAAGGAATTATGGCGGTCAAGATCCTTTGACTATGATACAGGTAATGAGTCTTTCATGGGTCTCTTGTCATAAATATTATCTCAATCAAAGGTTTACAATGGCGCATTTAGCGGGGGACTCACTGAAATTATTTCATGATTTGGAGAATCACGGGTTTAGGAGATTGAATGGAATGATTGGGAATCATATATGTCATTGGTATCTCTCAAGGATTGATTGTGACTACAGTACAATGATTACCAGAATCAAAGTGATGCATTCTGGCAATATAGGGAAGGTGTTGCGGGTATTAATTATTGGATTTATTTAGAAATAGATAGTATTTATAGGGAGTGTCTATACAGCATGTTATACATCAAAAGCTTCTTATTGCTTTCTGGTACCCAAAACCTAAAAAGTTTCATTCACTTTGTCCTAAACATGTCTCAAGCAGGGCTTCTTGGTTCTGGAAGCGGTACCAATAAAGGAAAAGGCACAGTGGTTCCAAAGCTGAAGATCTCAGTGCCGCAATTTGACAACACTGACCTGATCTGCGGCTACTCGCGTACACTAATTGGGAGATGTATGAACCCGAGTGCTCAAGATATGCACTCCCTGCTTCATATGTTGCCCCATATATGGAAGGTTGGGGATCGGGTGGCTAGCGTAGACCTTGGGATGGGCCGGTTCCAGTTTGATTTTGATGCAGATGAAGATATCACAGAGGTGCTGAATATGGAGCCATACCATTTTGACGGCTGGATGTTGGTTACTGCTCGGTGGGAACGAGTGATGGATCCAAACTATCCCTCCTCTTTTACTTTATGGGTGCGTATGATGGGCATACCCTTACACTTTTGGGCGGAACAGACTTTCAGGAGCATCAGAGAAGCTCTTGGGGAGGTCTGAAATGTTGATTTAGATGGAGGAAGGGTGCAAGTCAAGCTCGATGCCTTCCAGGCTTTGATCTTTGAAACGGAGGTGGAATTCATGGTGGTGATGCCATAACGGTGATGCTCAGATATGAGAGATTACATGGTATTTGCAGAGAATATCACAGCTTATGTCATGATGTCACTAGATGCCCCTCCTTGTACCCGAAAAGAGAAAGAAGAGATAACAGCCAGTATAGAGATGATAAGCAGGGTGGCAGAGCTGCGAGCTACAAAGGTACATTGATGGGAAAAGGGGACAACAGAGGCTGTCTTATGAAAAAGAAACATCAATATGCAGCACCGTTGAATGGGAAGGGCAAGCAATCAGAGGCTCGAGGAGAAAGCCACACAAGTTCTCATGGGGATAACACGGAGAGGGTGTCTCGGTATTTACCACCAAGAGATGCGAGCCAACGACACAGAGGTTTGACTAGGGGAATATATCAGACCAAGGAGGGCTTCAATTTGGTCTCAACGGTTATGGGGGTGGTTGCGGGTACTGTCCTGAGTCTAGAGAAGAAAAACGGTACAACCTCTAAAAGCCCGTCACAGCATTCAGCTAAGAAAATGCGTAAAGAGCTTGATTTCGAGGGAGTTGATCCAGGCATGGATGATTTGAGAAGTATGATAGACATGGTCGTCATGACTGAATCGTTGGAGGTCAATGAGTATGCGATGGGAGCCTTTCAGGATATGGAACTAGATTTGGCTGATCCATCCAAGGAGCTAACGGAGACAGAAGCATTGTTTGCCAAGGAAGAGGATATATTTGATTTCTCATATGCGAATATCGAGGCAGCCTTGCAGTTTGCAATATTCGAAGCTTCTTGATCATCTTCCCTTGCCACTTAGTTATTTTTCGCGGCACCTCCACCACCGAAGCAAGAAACTTCTCCGCCTTGGTCCGGGGCTCAAAGTCCATCCTCGAAAGCTCAAAGAGGGCTGGCATTACGCCATCTGAGGGTGGCGAATCTGACTGCTTGCGCGCAGACTGAATTGGCATCATGGTTGCACCAAGTGGGGCGTAACACTCCTCGTGGGTTGGGCAGAACTGGATCGTACCAATGCTATCCAAGTGTGTCTCCTCAACGTTGGGTAAGATGCACACGCTCTTCTTCCCCGCATCATTGTAGAACTGATAGGCAAAGAATCCTGGAGCTGGCGTAGGTCCCAAGCTATCGG